ACCCCAAAACCCCAAAACCCCAAAAACCCCAAAACCCCAAAACCCCAAAACCCCACATGTATTCAGCCATATTGAAAATTTATCTAAAAATGTTGCCAAGGATATTTATCAATAGATTTGCATACTGATTTGTTACCTAACTCGGTCATCCTCTTTATAGCTCGTAAAATTCAGTGGTTTTGTGAGTTGGAAATCTAGCCATAATTTACAAATTTATCCTGACAATATCTTTACAATATTGTCATAAATTGCATTCGAACATAGGCTAAAGACTAACTCTTAAATTTTAGAGACAAAGCCAGTCTTTCCATTTCAGCATCTACTCTTTAGCTTTCGAGGCCAGACTTTTCATCTCTATCTGCTAATCTGAATTCTATTTTTAAATCATGTTATGTGCTAGCATTAAGAAAAGAAAGAGCACTATGAAAAAAAGAGTGCATAATTTGAATCCGAAAATCTATCTAAATCATATTGGTCTGGACACATTTATTAGATTTGTCAATTTTCAAATGTCTTGAGTCTGCTTTAAAGCGAGACAAGCATCAACAAGAGTAAACACTTTCTTTCTTGTTAAAAGACTTTATAATCATAATATTTCTTACCTTCCAAACAGTGAATTTTAAACTCCGTGTCACCAAGAGAGTCATAAATGTATTAGCTCCAAAAAGTATAGGCCTTAAATATATCCATTATGCCTTACAAATGCTTTGAATCCAAACTAAAGATTTCAAATCCTCTCTAATTCAAAGAGCTTTGTATTTTTTCTTAAATAAAAAAATGTGTGAAATCTCTGGCAGCCTCGCTTCGGTTCTATAAAGCCTATGGAGTAAATTATATACCCAATAAGTTTCCCTAAGCCTTATGTGCTCTCCCAGCGGTCATAGGTAGAGGATTTATTAACATTTTGGTTATTCACTCTTAATACTCATTAAGAAGATGTCAATAAATATATTGAAACTCCATTAAAAACTTAGCCGTAAAGTACCTACATTTAGGGTCCCTCCTTACCGAGATTTATTAGCCAGTCCTCTTCAGCAGAACTTAAGCACAAACAGAGGTAGAAACCAATAGGTTAGGCCCGAATTTCGTAGGGATAGGAGCATGTGCCAGAAACTTGTTAGAAGTTAATCAGAGGTAGCTTAAGAAGAGGCGTAATAATTGATAAAAAGAAGATGATTTTAACCCCTCTATGAGGTCAAAAATGTGGTATCTGCATGATTAAATCCCTAGATTTAGATATCTTTTCAGCGTGAAATAATCATAGGATTCTGAGAAATGTTGGAAATCTATCAAAGTGATAGTATTAATCATAATAATAGTCAACGATTTTGAGCAAGAGTTATTAGATCCGAACGAAAGTTTGAAATTTATCCAATTTTGTACATTTACTTAGTGTCTTGTGAAGAACAATAATTTGTAATAAAATTAAAGAAAGTGAAACACTTTTTGTTTTAAGATTTGCCCTCAAGTGCTGAGAAGAACTTAAGGAGTAAATGGCTTATTCTGGATATCTTTAATATGCAAGAAATGTTTGTCTCGGATTAAACGTAAGATTAATTTTAGAAAATAGCTGATTCTTTGAGCTTATTGCTTGATGAATTTAATTTTGCTGTGGTCTTATGCTAAAAAGCCTGGGTGTTTGGTTATTACCTTCTCAGGTTTTCCTATAATGGCATAGTTTAAAGAAATAAGATGGCCAAATCCGAGAGGCTCATGGTCTCAATTTAAAGACGATTTGAGAAACGTCTTATCAATATGGCATCAATTCACTAGATTCATTTCAAGTACAGCATTGGGGATACGATTTATTGATGTTTTGGCTAGAAGTTGGTCTTAGTAAGGTATAATTCTTTCTTACTCTAGATAATCAGCTTAGGCTTCACATATTCATCAGTGATAACAGTAAGCAGAGGCTATAACTTTTGGCTCTCGAGGGACTAATTCATCCACTTCAATTCCTTAGTTATTAAAATTTAAACATCTATACACATTTGAGTAAAATTATATCAGTTGTTGATTTAAAAAATTATCTTGGCTTAATGAGGAAAATTTTGGATAAATCTAAATTTAATTTCTCAAAAATGAGTGAAGGAAAGGCATACTCGGAGTGATCTGGAGCAGCGATACTACGATCATCATTTTGATGCAGGTCATATTGTTAGAGCCACTTTTTGAAAGCATCTTCTTCTAAATTTTGCCTTTGCAGTCATAAAGAGCACTAAAAACTAAAATTTTTGGTGGGAGAGTCATTATCTAGATCATAAAAAAATTATGAACATAGCATCACGATTTTAAGGGTTGCTAATGAGGTTATAAATTTTCCGAAGTTAACAATTAATAATAAATTAACATGGAGATGAAAATGAACTGTTTTCTACCAAGCTCAACTTTACTCCCAGCCTGGGACTACCTGCTGATGCTACAATGCTTGGAAACAACTTATTGCTCTTGCTCTTCTGCTGAAGACAGCCTACAGAATATCAATCATAATGGGAACAATGGAAAGAAGAGTCCTCAGAAGCTCGAAACTCCAAGGTCGTCGAGTAGTATAAAGTAAGTAATTTAGCCAGGATTTATTTTCTTCTTTTTAAGCTCAACAAAGTGCTGCTAGTATAAATCATTGCTAACTCATTTATTATTAGAGCTTATGAGAAAGAACAAGATTCAGAATGGGCCCTAAAGGCGAAAGCAGTCAGAATTCCAAACTCCTTGTTGGATAGCCATGTATCTTACATCGAAAAAGATATTCCTGAACAACAAGAGAAAGTCAAGAGTGCCAAAATTATTTCAAAGAGAAGAAGCCGCTCAACAAAGCTTGACATCCGAAAAAGGCTTATTAGATTAAAAAAGCGTATCTTGGCTAAGAATATCTTGGAATTCTCCCATAGTGTTAGAAAGACTAGAGGAGCATCTGATAAGTATCTTGGAAGAAGGTCTCAGTATATTGGAGTGACCAAGAACACCACAAATTGGCAAGCCCTCATCAACGTTAAGGGTGCCAAGAAGTACATCGGCACTTTCGTGCACGAAGTTGAAGCAGCGAAGGCTTATGACCTATACTCAGTGGCAATGAAGGGTAAGAAAGCTTCTTGAAACTTCACCTACACAGGGAAAGAAATGACAAAGATGATATCCTATTTCCTCACTCATGGCTCCATAAAACCTTTAGAGTAAGGAATGTTCCCATAGCTAAGTTCTATAATTTTGAAGTCATCTTTAAGGGTTTGGAGCATGAAATGATGGGACACGAAGTTTAGTATGGTACAAAAAATCGTTCATCAATATTTTCTAAAAGTTTAGGGGTTTTGGGGTTTTGGGGTTTTGGGG